GATCTAATTAAACAAGGAGGAAGGAGCATCGTTAACCGGAGAAAGACTCTCAAGATTAATTCAAGATATTACTCTGGATCCTCATTCGTCAAAACTCAAATCACTATTACATCTTATTACTCTGCTTATTGTCTACATTCTTTACACTTTACTTAAATTCTATCGTATCCGTTTAGGGAAACGTTACCATTTCTGAGAAATTCCCTATTTTTGGCCATATTTTTACAAATCAGAATTCAAATGAAAATTCGGCTACTGCACCTAATGATTTGCTTCTTTTTTCAAATGAAACTCAATCTGATTCTGACTCGCTGACGCAGGAATCTAGAATCCAAATGGAACCACTCATCTCAATCAATCTTGGAAGTAAAAGGCTCAATCTGAATATCCCAATGCTTCACTATATGCACTAAAAAGAGTGAAATACTAATACAATTGATTTCTTTCCAGATCCGTACGAACTATGCATTTCTTATGACTATATATAGTAAAAAATATACTTCTGTTTACGTATTAATTATTCTATTATTTAATTAATTTCTCTAATATTAATTAGTTTAAGATGGGTAAAACACAACTAAAAATGAAAAACGTAGGTTAAAAAGACTTAGAATAGAAATATAAATTAGCAAATAAGTTAGAAATTATACCTTCAAATTCTCCAAATCACAAGAGTTACAAATCCTATCACAATTCACACACCAGCAGTATCCTTTTCCAACATTATTCAATCCGACCAAAATACAAATTCAATCCCAATTCACACATCACCAGCATCTTTTCAAATTATACACCTCAACAAAATACACATTCAATCCCAATTCACACATCACAGTATCTTCAAAAATTATACACCTCAACAAAACACTATTTCAATCTCAATTCGCCACGACCATTGTTTCTTTTCAATATTATTTACCCCAACAAAATTGTCCCTCCCACAACAAGCAATACTACAACCGAATGAATTGGACGGACTAGAAAAACCTACTGGACGAGAGATACAACCAGCAAACCCTTTGGCTCTAAAGCACCCATCCGAGTTAATAATAGAACACACATTCCACAACGTCAACCCTCAAGCACCACAGCCCATTCTGAGAAACTGTACTTATATGATAATAAATTCCATGTAAAATTTATTATGAGAAAAATGAACTAAAAATGCAGAACAATATTGAGAAAAGAATCAAAAAATATTATTAATCATAATCTAGAATTAGGTAAATTGATGTTTAGTATAAATAATTTAAAAATTAATTCTTCAATAAAAGTTAAAAAATTATTCACTAATCCATTTTATGGTTATTCATTCCCTACTAGTATTAAAATATCTAAACCTAAAAATGTGAAAAAATCAAATAAAAACTATTAAAGTGACAAATAAAATTAAGAAAAACAAGCTACGCAAAAATTGTTAGATAAAGAAATAGTTCGTACAATTAAACTTACTGATAGCCACAATGATAAAATCAAACCTAATTTAAATGGTAAAGACAAAAAGTAAAATAATTCATATAGTCTAGATTAAAAAAGGAAAATTTATAGAATTAGAAAATCAAATGAATGAAATTTCAATCATTTAAATTGTAAAAATGTTCAAAATTTAGATGAACTTCAACAAAAAATTGATCATGTCAAAATATTATTAATAATTTATTATTTCACTAAAAATTAAATTAAAAATTAAAATTAAATTAGAAGGGGTGAGATATGTTACAATAGCGTCTATACCTGTCTAGGTTGATTTATGGCATTATAGATACCCAGTTTTATGATCCTAGCCTTTAGGTATAAATAGGCCTCCAAAATCTGTGTGAGAGGCAGATGAGATTTGTACTTACTAGCACACGGTTCTACCTCTGGAACTTGAGCTAGGTAAATGTTTTAATAAGCAACTACATAAAATATAAAATGAATGAGTTGCTTTCTTCATTTATCATCATCTAATGCGTAACAGAAGGTATCAATTTAAGTTTAATTGGGGGGGCAAAATCAAATATTAAAATTTAAGATCAAATAGGGGAAAATTTAACCGTTTAAGGGGCCCAAAAAATTATGCCTTCATTTAATAATGCCATTTATGCAGAACTTGCATAATTATGTACTTTTGCAATCCAATGGAGAAAAAAGGAGGAATGTATAGCATAAAATATTTCAATGCAAGTAGTTTTCTCAGACCACACTTACACATTAATTTTATAAATGATGAAAGTATTTTTCCGAAATAAATATGAATCAGAAGAACTTGACGAATGACCAGTCTAAAATGATGGAGTAGATGACTCGGAACTTTTAGGTCATGTTGTGCGACGGGTATTGTAATTGGAACAACTTGGATGACTGGTAAATTTCATTTCATTTATTACTATGCTTTTTTCCATATTTTCATGCATTTCAATGCGTTTTTATGCATTTTGTGCATTTTACGCACCATGCACGCATAAAAATAATTTAGTTAGCACAAATAGAAACACTGGATTTCAATGAAAGGTCTGGTGGATTAAAAATAACCCTTAAATATTTTTATTAATGGAATTACACGGAAACTGTGCAAGTCTTTTTGTGAAATCAAATTCCCAATTTTTCACTCTTTGAAAATTGGAAAATAATTTCAGATTATTGAATATGCCTTCTGGGGATTTACTGTAATTTGTCCAAGATCTCCCCGGCGTTGCGACTTGCAGACTATCCACACATCCTGCATCAGCCCCCTCGCATTGTCCAACGATGAATAAGGTCGTGCCGTTTTCTCCACCAAATTCCATATTAGTTGGATTTGGAAATGATACCCGGACACGACCAGTGAGTTTTCCGTGTTGGTTAAAAACGACGACTTCGCCTCCACCGTATCTCGTCACCCATAAATTTTCGTGCACATCCGTCCGCTCCCGTCAATCACGATGGATTGGGCGGAGTCGCAGGGTACTCGAAAAATGCGAAGGGCCGTTTTCCGGAAACAGTGCCGGTTTTGACGTCCACCTGTAACCCAGATTTGTTGACCGGATGGCGTTCCTTCGGAGATGTAGAGACGGTTTTCGTCGAAAGAGAGGTCGATCCCGTTCGTGCGGCCGATTAATTCCAGTCGTTTTGCCTGGATAAATATGTATTTATTTACACTCTTAGAAAATTGGTATTAAATCATTACTGATCGGAGTGCTTATATTATACCGGGTATTACAGTTTATTTATTTAATGTAGTTGTAATTAAAAATTTACCAATACAATTGTAAGATATTAAGCACATAAAATCTGGTAGGAAGTTATTATCGGTTCAATACCGGGTCGAAGTATATATTTGACTCTAACAGATTTTTGACAGTTTTGCTCCAAATAAAATGTGTAATTATCACTAAAATTTGAGCAAATTGGAGAATGGGACAAAACTTAACGAAAATTTATCCCAAGGTTGGTATAAAATTAATGGGCTAAAGTTGGGTAGATTTTATCCAATTCGTGTGCCATCATCGTGTTTTACTCAAGGTTGGCTGGATTTTACATATTCTTATTTAGAGTGTACTTTTAATTCAAGTGTCAGGTGGTTATATCATTGACTAGCGTACAAGCCCGTCTCCTCCGCAGAGTGGATTTCGTTTTTAAAATTCCACTCAATTCAATATTCTTGTATTATTTATTGGCTAAAGCTGGCTGATGCAAACGGAAGTGTATTTGTAGCGAACATTGCTCAAACTGTTAATAATCAGAATTAAGACGCAATATTCCGATAACACAATGCGGAACATGACCCAGTGACACCATGATCTTCTCATATTCACTTGTTTAAATTTCGATTTTTGAATTTACGCACCATCCGAAACTTAATTTTCTCCACTTTGACTTCAGTTTCGGAAAATTAATTTCACTTCCGTTGCAGACAAACATTTCCAGCTTATAATATAGATAAGGTCAGAAAGGACATGATAAGCATGACACGACTGTATTTCATTACCTCCCCATTTTTCAAACAACTCCAAACATCTCCTTCCCTGTTGTGGGGAAAAGTGGTGAACATCATACCGGAAGTGAAAACAGTGCCACTCCGCGAAAGGGTCAGGTCGTTCGGCTCCATCATAGCTTCTGGTTTGGTGGGAGCACAGAAAACGGTGGAGTTTAGCACGATTGGGAAATCATTCTGGTTTTCGGTCAGACTCAATTTCAGGACGCGATGGTTGGCAGAATCAATGACAAGGGCAGTTTTATCGTTGAGAAATCGCATCCCGTGAAGTTGTGAATTTGTCCGAGGGTCGAGATAAAAAGGGCGGATTTGTGGAAGAATTGTCCTATTCCAAAATAAAGCTTTCTTAAATTAACAGTGTGAAGTTGTGAAGTGTAACAGTGTTACAGTAACAGTATGATTTTGTTAAAATTTTGGTAGCATGAAGTTCATATCAGTGCAACGTTGATTGACACAGTTTTTAAGGGTTCCTGAAGTTGTCAACATATTTGAGGTGGAAGTTTAAAAATTTGCAACTTTTTTATTAGCGAAACTGGAGTTTTCCTCCGCCACTTTAATAAAATCGCAAAATTTTCAGGGTATCTCGAATATTTTGTCAGATACTGAAAACCTTAAGAACTGTCCAATAAATAAACATTTTACTAATGTAAACTTCATAATACCAAAAATTTCAACAAAATCAGAGCGTTACACTTCGTACCATCTCATTATTATTATTTTTTTAATTAAGTGGAACATCGTACCATATGTATTCAGGGTGGAACTATTTCCATAATTGACGGCGAACATGTGTCCCCTTCGATTTGTGGATGTGCCTTCAATGAAGCGGCCAAAAGTGGAGGTGGCGCTGGTGATGAAGGGCGTGGCGTGGAGGTCCATGCAGGATATTGGTTTGTTGGAAGTCACCAGGTGGCATCCATGGGTCAACACATGGTCAAAATTGGCCAGGAAAAGTAGGAAAAATTGAATTATATTTGTATCCATTTTGGCAGAGGTTTTTAGTTTCACGGGAAATTGTAATTTAAGTTAGAAAAATAGAAAGTCAAATTCTCTGTTTAAGGTTTAGGGGCTGATTTTATACTCGATTATGGTCTTAGAATCGTGACATTTCCAAGATTTGTGGTGCTAAATGTGCAGAAATATTGGGGACGCAAATTATGTATGTTACATGGAAATAGTCAAAGTAAACGAAAATTATTTAAGTATAATTATGACACAATTCTCCTCGTTCAAGTTACGAATTATTCTACAACGCAAGCAGTTTAAAATTTATTACAAATCTATGTACTGCGGTAAATAAATACAACGATTCAACCCAACGGTTGCCAATCGACTTATTATTTATTGTAGACATACGACATGATTTACAAACATCACGCATCGTAAAATATATATAAATAAATGTATTTACCACACCACACTTTTCAAGTGTCTGACCTAAATAGTAAGGAAGTGCAAACCTTACTCTCAAGAATGGGAATGCAAAAAACGAGCTGACAGAGGTCCAATAAAAGTCGGCGCAATAAACATCCGTTATGGAGAAGGCTATGGAAAATAACTAACCTAAATACTTTAATGTTAAATAAATATGAAACATGTACATATGTATGGATACATGTGAGAATTGCAGATCTTCATACGCTCTCAACAATCGATGAACAAAGTATGTACGAAAATGTGTATACCGTAAATACTCTATTTATAGCCGGGGCTAAAATCCAAAACTGAGGGTCACGGACCCGGCTACACTTAGAGACCGACTACAATTAGAGACCGGCTATAATTAGAGACCCGGCTAAACTTTTTTACGCCCAAAACTTTCACTCTACATCTTTAAACGAGGTTTAGCAGGTTTTTTAAATTTTATGTCATGATTTTTTCATAATTAACTTCACTCAAAATTAATAGGTAAAAATGAGTATTTAATTCAACTTGTTCGTTGATTAGCATAATGTGCAACAATTTTATTGAATGGGCTATAAACGGGACACAGCGGACAAGAGAAGCCATAATTAGAGACCCGGCTAAAATTTTGAAATATTGGTCTCTAGGCCCGGCTATATTTGGAGACCGGCTAAAATTAGAATAGGGCTATAAATAGAGGTTTTACGGTATTTGCTTTCACTTCATGCAAATCATAATACACGAGTCTCAATGGTTTCCCTTTTGCATGTGATTCGGTGGTGCGTATCCTGTCCTTGCATTTTACGTTCTGAATCCCTACAACGGTAAACGTTAGCAAATACAAACAATACAGCTGCATATATGTATACATACATACATAACTATATTTACGTACATGTACATTCTTCTGCACGTACTTAAATTGATCACATGTTAGCAGATTGCATATGGAGTAAAATATTTACACGTTCCCTTGTGCATGCAATATTTAAGTTTTGTTTTAACCTACATACATATTTACTAACCACATTATTATTTGGATAGTTCACATTGAAACACGACTTTTTTCACGCCAGTTAAACCAGGCTGAAGAATAATTTTAATATCATTTATCAATTCTCAGTAATATGTAAATCTCAATTAAATATTGTGTGTGTAATTTATTGTGTACTGAGTTTTATAAACTGTTTAAATAATTGTGGTAGACCTACTACCTTGGAATTTTATGTAATTAACGCGATCGTGGTGGGTATGTAAATATTTCGCACCTTAAAATAAATTATTGACCTAGATACATACTTAAGTCTGACAGTTGTATACATATATTTATTTATTATTTAAATATCTTAATATTTCAGTTAACAACTTGAGTTCTTCCCGTTTCCAGACCAGTCACTGCTTTATTGTCCACAAACGTCATCAAAAAAGAAAAAAAAATCATGTCTATCAATATTAACGAACTGATGAAAAATCTACCTGCCTCCCTCTCCTCGATGAGATCCCCTCCTGGCGAAATAAATGATATTAATCAGTTGTCCACTCTACTGGAGTTGGAGAAAAGCAATATTGAAAACCCAGTCGTGACGGAGGACAAGATTAAACTATGCACGAACAAGGAGTTAGTCATTTTTGGACAGTTACAATACATTCAACAAAACAAGACACGTTCTTCCGCTCTCTCGGCAGCTACGATTACAAAGACGTCAACAACAACGTTACACAGCCTCCCAGAAAATTATGCTGGAAATTTTGAGTTATCTGACAATAACCGGGTGGGATTGGCGACATTGGCGAAAAATCCGAATACCGTGCTCTGGGGAAAGTTTCTACTTTGTCGCATCATTTCCGAGGCGTCCAAAGTTGTTGGGATTGAAACTGTGGTGGATGACCCGGTGGGAAAGTTGGGGATGAAATTGGCGCTGTACAATTACTCTGTGGAGTCCTCCGTTGCCACGACGAATTTTCAGGAAGTGCTCCCTCTCGGGATGTATTCGGTAGTTAGAAATCCTTGGTGGAAGTCTACTGCGAGTGGTGGTATCGTGATTCGATGTGATAATCCGGCCGAGGTGGATTTTATGAGCGAAAAAGAATTTCGAAGAAGGTTTCCAGGTTTGTGATATTTTAAATCAAATTAATCCTGAGAATTGTTCTGGTAGTAGGTTAGAGTAATTTTGGTTCTGTACAAGCCATTAATTGAAATACCTCAGAGGGGGGGGATAAATCTTGCAAGTTGGATTTAGAGGTTAACGCCGACCAATTTGGGGAGCCGTCTTTGAACGATTTTCCTACGGCAATTACAATGTTACATGAAGAGGAAATTAGAATTAATTGCGGCGGTTGCGCGTAAAATGCTATCTGCGGCCCGTCGGCTTTGACCACTGATTTTATAAACAACTAATCCCGAAATTTTTACAGAGAATTTTTACAGATAAAATTAAAGATCCATTTCCCTGACAATCTTTGAAAGCTTAGAAAATAGTAGGTCAAAGTTAAACTGAAATGATTCTCATTTGTAAATATATTTTAGATCTTAACTGGAAGTCACAAATTCCATCCGCATTCCGACACATTTTACCATTTTGGGATCAATATTCCACAGATGAAGAAAGATTCAACATTTTGAGGACCTCGGGTAACAAAGCATTTGTCGCTAAGAGATACACCGACGCGGATCGCTTCTACAGTTTGGCATTGGAATATTCCAACGAAAATGAACAAAAGGCAAATATTTAGCAACCGGTCTGCCGTCTGTTTAGCATACGAATGCCTACAACAGGCCATACTATGGGCAGAAGAGGGATTAAAATTGGATGGGACGAATGAGAAGTGTCACTATCGCAAAGTGAAGGCACTACTAGGATTGGGTCACCATGAACAAGCCGTTCAGGTTCTGACTGATATACTGAAGAAATTTGGAGAAGACGCAAGCGCTGAGAAATTGAAGGAGTTTGAAAAATTGATGAAACTGGCGCAGGGTCGGGCGTAAGTTAACTAAATACTTATTCAAAACTAAATAGTTAAAATTTAACTTAAAAAATAATAATTTTCCAATATTATTTTGGAATTGCACGCTAATTAATTTGGCGACAATTTCTAATTGCTACCTTTGAATGTCCCAGTTTTTGGGTAATGATTAAGCAGACGACCTTTTACTCGAATAGAAAATAATTTTTTTTAAATAACTCGTACACTAAACATTCGTCAAGCTATACAAAAAAGTTACCTATTTTTGTTGCCCAAATTTAAAATATTTTTTTATGAAACTATTTTTTACAATCTTATTAGATTTTTTATTATGTATTATTTTTTTATTTAGTTTTAAATAATGCTGGAATTTTTGGTTAAGTATCCATCGTAAAAATGCGTCTCTTTAATCACCCGGGAAAATTATGGTACAAATTATCGCCTCTCTGCAGACTACGATTTGTCTCTAAATTATTTAAATTGTACCATTTTGCGCAGGTCGAGTGCATCACTTACAAAATCCCAACTAATGGCGTTCATCCCACAGCAAAAGTCGTCAATAGACACCACCCTCCTTCCACTAATTGAAGATGGTCCATTCACCCTCACCAACGTCGCCGATAAAGGTCGTGGCGTACATGCGACTCACGACATACCTGCAGGAACACCTCTACTTTGCACTCGAGCATTCGGTTACTTTACTCAAAATTCGATACCCTCTGAACTCTATCTGAGTCACAATTTCGACTCAAAATCTGCCTACATGAAGCCTGGCCATGATCAAATTGTTGCTCAAATTGCAAACAAAATTCGTATGGAGCCATCTCTCGGAAAAGTGATTTATGCCCTTACTGCAGGAAAAGATCTTGGACATTTGAATCAGGATCATGGCCACATTTCCTGCCTCGATATGAAACGTATCGACCGTATCGTTTCGATTAATTGGTTTGGAACGGATGAATTAGAGGAAGGAGATCGACAATATTCTGGGATTTGGGTGATGCCATCATTTTTTAATCATTCCTGTTCCGAGGCCAATGTGGTGTGGTACGTTTACGAAAATTATATGGTGATGAGGACCACAACCCAGGTGAAGAAAGGGGACGAGATGCTGGTCCATTACATCAACCCGGGACGTGATTTTGAGAAAAGAGTAAACTGTTTTAAGGCACATGGTAGGAAAACTTTTTTTTCAAATATTTGCATAAATTTTTCCTCTCTATTTCGCAAGTCGCATCATGAAATCTGTTTACGTAACTACAGATTTGTTAAACTAAGGAGGACAACCCTTCACCGACAGAATCACAGATCTTGATGCCCTTTGGATATGCTGTAGTCCTAGATGAGTCTAGCAAAAGTGGAAAAGGATTTCATTCCATGGCCCCTTTTGCGCCCGCCACACCCACTCAAAGGTGCGAAAAACACGAAAAATACCCTGTTTTCATTCATTCAAAAAATCACCAAAAATCCAATTTTGATCGGATTTTCACAATTTAAGCGTTTTTGTGATCTTAGATAGTTGCTTTATCATATCCAATAGCAAACTCAATTTTTTTTGAAATTTTGATTTTTTCGAAGGCCTGGTCAGGTCCTGGCCCTGGTCAGGAAACTTTCTAAAATACTCAAAAAATTAAAAAAATTGAGTTTGCTTTGGGATATGATAAAGCCACTATCTAAGATCACAAAAACGCTTAAATTATGAAAATCCGATCAAAATTGGATTTTTGGTGATTTTTTGAATGAACGAAAACAGGGTATTTTTCGTGTTTTTCGCACCTTTGAGTGGGTGTGGCGGGCGCAAAAGGGGCCATGGAATGAAATCCTTCTT